TTACTTAGCTGCTATGTGTTTAAAAAGTACAATGTATTCCTGACATCTATTGACCTTTTTTTAAAAAAAGAATGCCTTATGTATTCTAATTAATCAAGGGATTGGAAGCGTCTATAATGCTTCTGATGTAAATGCAGGCATTGATAGTTTTATTTGGCAGCTGCCCTGATTGAATGCATTAGATTGGACACTCGTTGAAGCCAATGATTTGAAAGCAACATAACTTGACCAGAGTTTATCAGGTTATGATTTAGGAACACATGTGGCTCCTTTGCCAGATCATTGGTCCCTTTTGCTTAGCACTGTCTCCTCTGACAGCATCTCTTCATGGTCACAGTTACGGAGATGTTTTGAGAGGAAGGAACAGGGGAACAATCATATTGTTAATTGATGATTACAGCCAAGCAATGGATCACCAAGGAAAAATATGGAAGTTCCCTCTAACCCAAAGTATTTGTCCCCGTCCCAATGGGTGGAAAGTAGTCAATACCAGAATTGTTTAGCACGGAACTGAACATCCTGACAATTTACTTCCAGCAGAACCTTTTGGGCTTCAAAGTATATGGGAAAATGAGCAGTGCTTGTAAAATATTGGATTCCAGAGGTGGAACTGAGCAGGATGCCCTGTGGTCAGTATTGTGGGGCTTCCGTTCCTGCGCCCAGCAGCACAAGCAAAACAAATAATTCAGAAGAAGGCAATATATGCAAACTAATTGTGTTTGTGTATAGTTTTGCTCAGCACGGTACAAAATGATCCTTTTTTAAAAGCCCTGGTAGGTCTGATGTGGGAAAAGATCTAAGAAAATTCATTTAAGAATTCTCTTAATAGCTTTTCTTGCTTTCCTGTGACCGATCTTCTATCAAACACAGTGGCCTGGTCTGAAGCTGCAAAGATGCAGTTTGACCTGTTCAGTTTGCAGTTCTGTGGTTAGATTCTTTGAGGGCTTGTTTTCTCTCTACTAAGTGGCTTCCACGTCAGATACCAAATGCTGATTTCTACTTGATTCCCAGACTATAATGTATTCCCAGATTCCAAGTATAATGGCTAAAAGATTGAGCTGTGAAAAAGAATGTCCCTGGTTCCACCATGCAAGCCATTACCTTCTCAGATCTAGCCCCTACCCCACCTCCATGTCTACAGTATATAGATAACACTGGCATATATTATAGATTTGTTGTAAGGATTACAGAGAGAATGGCTAGGGTTAAAAGAAAGAAACACTTCAACCGAGCATGGGAAGTCTTATGAGATCTACTTTAAAAAAACCCCTGAAATGCTGAGTTCTGTCAACTGGAGGCAGGCACAAAATAATCACTGAAGGGCAGAGCTAGAAACAAAATGGCAGAGCCAATTACCTACCCCAGACACTTGGGTAATTTGCATATTCAGTTGACAATATACTTCTGAGTACAGGTCAGGGATTCTAATTGCCGCCTTTGTGGGGTGGGAAATTTTTTGCTGTGGTTATTGAACAACTGGGAGTCATAAGCTCTTGCTGAACTTCAGCAAATTATCCAGTATTCCTCTTCCTACACTGTAGAAAACCATGTAGACTTCATTGTTTTTTTAAACAGCTAATTTTTTTTTGCCATATTGCAAATTGCTTTTGAACCCCCCCCCCCCTATTTTCAAAAGCAGTTTATTGTGTTACACATTCTACTGCTATTTACGAACAAGTGTAAAGTCTACTTGGTACTGACAAAATTAGCTTCTCAGCCTTTAAGATCCTGGACAAAGTACATGAGGCCTCTAACAGACTTCCCTAACCTGGCACTCTCCAGCTATTTTGGACTACAACTCCCATCAGCTCCACCCAGCATAAAGTGTAGTATAAATGTTTATGTATGTGCAGAGTTTCTGCCCATCCTATTCCATGTACCTCACAGAAGCGGTAGTTGCTGAGGAGCTTCCTACCCTCACTGCAGAACCATTGCAAAGGAGGCAACAATCCAGTCAGTCCCTGATTTGTTTTGTCAAAATTGCAATGGGGAATGATGGTTGACTTTATGGGTGGGGGTGGTGTTCAGACAAATAGCTGTCAGTTTGCTTAATTTTTTAAAAAGTCACAGAAAATGGAGATTATTTTAGGAACATTCTATACAAGGGAAAAAGCCAAAGGACACGTCAGAGGAGTGATGTTATCTCTGTCCCTGGCATTCCTTCTACCAAGAAGTTGGCTCGGTCAAGGATTGAAATAAATAAATCTTCTGTCAGCTTTCACAGAACAGCTAAGCGGGCTGCACACTTATGAAAAACAGCTCCTTTTAGTTGATCTGTGTACTGCTCATCGCCAAATGCTTCCAAAACATAAAACTGTTGAGCTGAGGAATAAAACACTTGTCTATTTAAGGATGTTTACATCTTACAACCAGATTTTTTAAATCGCCATATTAGCACATTTACCTGTAAAATAACGCAGCAGGATAATAGAACTTTTAAGTGACACATCTGTGTGCAATACTGGTACTGTATCTGCTTGACTTTACAGTAATAGTAAATGTGACAATCTATTATTTAACTTCCTTTCGTGGTGGGTGGATGGCTGGATGGATAGTGAGGTTGTATACTGAATACTTTTTCATATAAAACTACTAAATACTGTCTTCTCAGTTTGCCTTTGCATCAACCCTGATAGGATGATCGCTGTTGTAACTTGCCCAGAGTGCAAAATTTAGTCACTGGTATTAGACACATATAAATCTGTTTTACAACTAATCAGATTGTTTGGTCCATCTAGGCCAGAGTTGCCCACTCAAACTAGCAGGATCTCTCCCAAGTTATTGGGCCTTTCAGAAATATGTTACAATGATCCTTTTAACTGGACATATAGATTAAAACTGGAATCTTCAGCAAGCACAGCATATGTTCTACCAGTGAGCTATGCCCTTCCCATTAAGTGTGTCACACTTTTTAACCATAAATATCTTTTGGAATCAACTACACTATTCAGTATTCAAAGATTTATGTAAATCATAACTGGGTTATTTGGTATATGTTTGTTATGGTAACGGAGCCTGAGTAAGGTATAAGTGTCTACTGTGTTGACATCAAAAATCAATTCATATATTATGGGGGGGGAATTAACACCCACAAAAATAGCCATTTGTTGTTGTTGTTTAGTCGTTTAGTCGTGTCCGACTCTTTGTGACCCCATGGACCAGAGCACGCCAGGCACTCCTGTCTTCCACTGCCTCCCGCAGTTTGGTCAAACTCATGTTCGTAGCTTCAAGAACACTGTTCAACCATCTCATCCTCTGTCGTCCCCTTCTCCTTGTGCCCTCAATCTTTCCCAACATCAGGGTCTTTTCCAGGGAGTCTTCTCTTCTCATGAGGTGGCCAAAGTATTGGAGCCTCAGCTTCACGATCTGTCCTTCCAGTGAGCACTTATAATATAAAAAGATCAACGTACAGACTAAGCCACCTTAAACAATCATGTTACCATATTATAGAAATGTGATCCTAACTATAAGTATTTAATTCCAGTTATCAACAGTTAAATTTACCTTTATCATATGAACATTAACAGGACTATTTATCCAGTTTGTTTCTAAAACTAACCTCATTTCTTTGCTAACCATTGTTGTGTTATGAATGTCTTAAACTTGAACTAATTATTGCTTCTTCCTGGAATGGTAAAAATACTCCAGTAACTACATATCCTGCCAACAGTCCCCTTTTTATGTGCTCTGGAAGCAGGCACATAATTGCAGTGGGGTCATTGCAGTGCAATCCAGTTTTGCCAGGGCCCTAACACTTAACAAAATCTTGTATCGTGTCCTATGCCTGTTGTCTTCCTGCTCTGAATTTTATATTCCTGTTGCTAGAAACATGGAACAGATCAAAACAGAAGCAGTTGTTAAAATTTATATGCTAGTGCAAATGTGAACTTGGTCATTATGCAGTCTGTTTTGAAATGTCACATTAATATTAAGCCCCTGAAAATTTGGAGGCAGGAGTTGAGATTCACTGACTTTTTAAATCTTGGTTTTTGCATCACCTTAGTGCTCTTTCATTACCCAAAATTCATTTTGCATTAGCTATGTAAGCCAAGATTGATAGACCACATTTCCAGACTAGGCCTCCTGGTTCTATAAGTTTGTCGTTGGGAGATGACAAAACTCGATTTTGGCAGAGTCTAGTTACGGTGGTGTTGGCGATGGTGTTTTTTATCATAGTTATGAGAGGTGATGGACTCTCCTTTCTTGGAGTTTTTTTAAGCAGAGGTTAGATGACTATCATGTATGATCTAGTTGAGATTCCTGCATAGTAGGGGGTTGGACTAGATGACCCTCATGGTCCCTTATAACTCTGCAATTCTATGGTTCTATGATTTTATTATTATTTACCCTTCATAGCTCTGGTCCAAATACCTAAGAAAATGGACAATAAGCTTTAATTGGTCATCTTTTTCATAGTCAGGGTAGTTAATGGATTCACTCAGTGCTCTGTTTAGAGTTGAAAGGGGGATTCTAATCCATGTTAATAAGTGAGAAATGAGGGAAGAAGTGATAGTTCCGTATTTATTAACCCAAACCAATGAGCATAAACATGTATATGTATGCAACAGGCTGAGATGGGAGAACAGACTTGTATAACATTTTTGAATGCTCCCCTAGATTTAAAAAATACAGCAACAACAATTGAACTCTAGTAGGAAGAAATGGAGCATAGCAAAGAAAGGGGTTCTTCTTCAGTTTTCTCCTTGGAGGTGGTTGCTCTGCCCAACAAACTGGGCAACATGTGTAAATTAAGCCTACACCTCTTACGTTGCATTACTTGTCTATATAAGGTAGACATTTTCCAGAAACAAAGCAGAAATTCCCTCTTATTAGTTCTTTTCAAACCCTGCTTTTTAATAACAGTTTTCATGGTCAAATCTCTTATTAGGAGAATCAACCAGAATCAAATTTGGCTCATTGATGGAAACAAATACAATGCTTTCACAGTCCGGATCAATGCTCATAATGCTCTTTCCCCCCTGTTAATTTTTGTTCCCCAGTTCCCAGTGTAAATGGCGTAGAGGAACCCAGTATTGCAAAGAGACTGCGTGGCACACCAGAGCGGATTGAACTGGAGAATTACCGTCTCTCGGTACAACGGGAAGAGGAGTTGGAAGAAGTCCCTGAGGAGACCTTGGCAGAGCACAACCTGAGCAGCGTGCTAGACAAAGGAACAGAAGAGGATGTACCCAGCAGGTTATTTTTCTTTTTTTAAAAGCCTTAATTTATTTAAAATATGACTTGGCTGCCTTTCTAAAGAATGCCTGTTCAAGGTGGCTTGAAAGAGTAGAAGTTTTAAAAAAGGTCAATAATACAAAAAGGATCAGAGTTTCCCCCTTTAAAACCAATAAGGCTTGTATCAAATGCAGTACAGCACTGAATAAGGATTCTCACATGCGCAACAGGACTTTCTTCCGTCTCCTCCACCTGCATATGCCGTATGCCCTCTCCAAATCTACTCTGGAGGGTTGGGGGAACCCCCAGAACAGATTTATGGGGTGCAGAGGGGAGAGGGGAGAAAGTCCCATTGTGCTAGGGTTGCCATATTTCAAAAAGTGAAAATCTGGACACAAAAGTTGTTGAGCTTTTTCTTTTTCTTCTTTGCCAGAGTTGTTCAGTTTCTTTGTTTTTTTGCCAGAGTTTCTGAGCAACTTTTAATGAAATTCGGGAAAATCTGCACTTCCAACATGGGCTGCCATATGTCCAGATTTCCATGGACGTTTCAGCAATTTTCTGCCCAAATGCTGCTTAAGAGAGCCGAATACCGGCTATGTCTGGGAAATTCTGGACGTATGGCAGCCCTACGTTGTGCAAGCAGGAATTCTTGTGCTTATGGGGCACTTAGCACTACATTAGACAGAAGCCAAAACATTCTCAGCCAGCTAGTTAAAATACATTTCACAGTTCTAACAACCACAAGCCAAGCCAAAAAGCGCTAAGCAGGAATAGACCAGTCAGAGAACAGATGACTTTCAAACCTTTTGAAAAACTTGAAGTAAAACTTGCAGTAATACAAAGTGCAATGAAACAGAACAAACAAAAAAAAAGTTACTATTGAAATAACAACCATATCCTTGCAAAATAATCATATGAGACAAATTGCATCATAAGCCAGTTTACAGGCCAAAGTGTGCTTGAAGGTGCCTAGTCCTGAGAGATGAACTGGCTGGGCCTTGTTCTCTGCCCCTCCATCCACTGTGAGTGGAAAAGGAACTTGGGGAATATGATTTTTACCTGAAGGGAAACTTTAGTTTATCATTTTTAAAGGCATTTACAGGTCATCTTTCTGGACAAATTCTTCTCAAGGTAGAAAAGGGTTAAGCAGCTACACCTCACTTTTCTTCCACTTGAACACAGCTTGCACTAGAATCCTTTCTGCTTTAAAAGAAATATTTTAGAAGAAAGAACCTGAATTCCCCTTTTTTTGTATTTTGAGCATGTGTTCTGCACGTTGACAGGGAGTTGCATACTATTTTTAAGTGACAGTAAACATAAAACCGATTTTTTCCTTCTTCCAACAAAGCAAAGCCAACATTCCTCCTTGAGGGCCTAGCTATCTGTCAGGCAACGTACTAAAATAAAAATCTGTTTTTAAAAAATAATTCTTAACACAAATGTTAGGAAAAACACATTCTTAGGAGTTGAGAAAATCACAATGAACATTTCTTTGTCTAGATAAAATTCCCAAAAGGATTATGCATTTCTGAAGTTTGCCCATAATTTCACTTAACGGCCTTGTTTTAAAAAGTCATGAAAAACCTGTTCCCACATCTTTTGTGAAAATAGATGGCTAAGCAACAAATGGAAGGTTTCGCAGTTTGTGTGAATAAAGACAGAATCCCACTGTTATTCCCACAAGTAACAATATTTTTCCCAGGAACAAACAAACAAAAAAAGAGATAAATTTAGAGTATACTTTTGCTGCTACAGTTCTAAGTGAAATGAGTTGGAGATATGTACCTCCTAATCTTTTCAAATATTTTTTGTACTGGAGAATTTCCTGCTGGATTTTGTCCAATAAAAATGGATAGGGGGAAAGGGTAAAACATATGACAAAGAAAAGAAGGGTGAATTCCTGTTGATTTAGCCTCCAGGAGAGGAGGAGCTTGCTTTTCTAAGAGGAATATGTAACAGGCCTATAAAGATTAAATGTTGTTTTCTTCTTCTAATGGGATCATTCCTCAGTAAGGCGTGTGCTGAAATGAAAGAGGCTGTCATTCCATTGATGATGATTGTGTCTGAGTGGGGGGGCCACTAGTTACCTTCCTCTCATGACTGGCTCTTTTTGACTTTGGAATAAGGGACCACAGAGACCTCAAATTGGCTGCAAACTGGGAGTGGGAAATAAAACCCCTCAACAATTGACATGTAGGTTGTGTTTCAGTGCTAAATTCTGATTCAATTCTGTTTTGAATGACCCCATTCTGTCATAGTCAAGAGCAGGGGTGGGGAACATGTGGCAGTGGTTGTGGAAAAGTGGCCTTGTGGACTCCCTAGCAGGCCAAGATTGGTCTATGGGCCGAAAGTTGTCCACTCCTGGGATAGATGGACAAATATTCTGACCTGGTTTGAGGCAGTTTGTTCTGTTTTGTTGGCTATGATTATTTTAAAACAGTCATCTGCTTGTGCGCACAGGGGGGGTGGACCCTGTTGAAGTATCATCTACTAACTTTCCTGATTTTCCTCTGCAGTAGTTCAGAATCTGAGATGGAAGAAGAAGAGGAGGAGGAAGAAGAACAGCCACAGCAGCCCACTTCTGACCTGGGTGGTGTGCCTTGGAAAGAGGCTGTGCGGATACATGCCATGCTGAAGGGCAAGAGTGAGGAAGAGCTGGACACAGAGAAGAATCATGACAATGAAGCAGAGGAGGAAGAGGAAGAAGAAGAGGAGGAGGGGGAAGAAGAGGAAGAAGTCTCTAGTGAAGGTTAGTAGATAGTTTCGATTGCTTTTCATGATACGGATTTGGATATGCATATTAATTTTATTTTTTCAATGCTATTCAATTTATATCTTGCCATTGATCCTGAAGGAGCCCAGGCTGGCATATTGATCACAGATTGCCATCATACAGAATAGATAATCAAATATAAAGTGCATCTGCCATTTCTTTGGAAAACTTGGAAGTCAGCAAACCTGCTGGAGACTCATGTTTACAGACTACTGGGAAGTCCCATGAAAAATCTTTAGAAGAAGTATTTGGGCCCAAGGTGGTGGTCTTCATCAAGTTGGCAGTTATTAAAATTGTATTTTCTCTAACCTATCTTGCTCTCTTTCTCTCTGTGGTTTTCATCTCTGTAACACTGTTCCAGGTTTTCGTTTTTCAGTCTGCAAATTTACGTCTGGGAATCAACATAGAATTGGAAGGAACCCCAAGGGTCATCTGGCCCAACTCCCTGCAATGCAGGAATTTCAGCTAGATCATACATGACAGATTGCCATCCAACCTCTGTTTAAGCACCTCCAAGGAATAACAGTCTACCACCTCTTGTGAGAGTCTATTCCACTGTCGAACAGCTCTTAACTGTCAGAAAGATCTTCCTGATGTTTAGTCAAAATCTCCTTTCTTGTAACTTGAATCCATTGGTTCAGGTCCTATCCTCCTGAGGAGAAGAAAACAAGCTTGCTCCATCCTCCATGTGACAGCCCTTGAGATATTTGAAGATGGTTATCGTATCTCCTCTCAGTCTCTCCTTAGCAAGCTAAACATACCACATTTCCTCAATCATTCCTTATAAGACTTGGTTTCCAGACCCTTGATCACCTTAGTCACTATTTTCTGCACACGTTCCAACTTGTCATTATCCTTCTTAAATTGTGGTGCCTAGAACTGGGCACAGTATTTCAGGTGTGGTCTGACCAAAGCAGAATAGAGCAGGACTAGTGACTTCCCTTGATCGGGACACTGTGCTTCTGTTGATGCAGCCTAGAATAGAAGTAGCTGCATGTTGACTCCTACGAAACTTGTGGTCTACTAAAACCCCTAGATCCTGTTCACATGTACTATTTGCAATCCAGGTGTCGCCCATCTTACATTTGTGCACCTGGATCTTCCTGTCCAGGTGTAGAACTTTACATTTGTCCCTACTGAAATTCATTTTGTTAGTTAATGGCCCAGGTCTGCAATCTGTTGAGGTCATCTGGAATCCCCATTCTGTCTTCTGCAGCATTGGCTGCCCCTCCCAGTTTTGAGTCATCTGCAAATTGGATGAGTATCCCCTCCATACCTACATCCAAGTCATTCATAAAGATATTGAACAACACTGGGCCCAAGACAGAACCTTGCAGCATCCCAATTGTCACGCGTTGCATTCAGGCTTAAAACAGAGTTATAATTTGAGGAGCCGGTTCAACAGGCAGGTACTCGTCCATAACAAAAGGCTTGGGGAAGAGCCAAAGCTTAATTGTACAATGCACGTTTTGCATGCAAAAACACCCTGGGCTCAATCCCCGGCAGTTTTGGGTAGGGCTGGGTGAGACCTGACTGAAACCCTGGAGAGCTACCATCAGACAATGTAGGCTATACTGAGCTAGATGGATAAATGCTCTACAGGTAGCTTTTTATGATCCTACATGATGGCAGCTGGGTGAGCTCAAAGGTCCATTGCCAGGGTTAGGGAAGTAATGAAAGATTGATTTGCCTGCAGGCCAAGGAAGTAGTTCAGTAGCAGGGTGAAGAGGCAAGTCAGGGCTGGAACTGTGATTCAGTAAATAGGTTAAGTGAAAAGTTTGGCATGTTTCTGTGGCTGTTGGTGATGAAATGTTCAGAGGCTGTATTTATTTGGCTTGGATGTGTTTGCATAGGTTTAGAGTCTATCACAGCTCAGAACTAGGAGCCAGCAGCAAAGGCCTGTGAATAGCAGAAAGTTTGGACAAAGCTTTGCTTCCAGACCAGAAGGACCCCTGCTTTTAGTTATATAGGGGTCTGCACTTGGATCAAAAATTGGATTCCCCCCCCCTCCTCAGCTCCTTTATGACTGCTTAAGACATGGATTAATTGGGGGTGGAAAACCTCATGTCTGAACTAGGGATTACCACCTAAGGTAGTTGGGAAATCAAGAGTGAGTCACAAGAGTGTTGTGTGTAGATACTCATGCTTGCATCTAATGGCAACAGTTCTGCATTAACTGCTTAAGGGAGTATCAGTTACAGATCAGAACAGGCAGGTGTCTCAGTTATTGAAAGGTTTGGGAACCATAAATCTGCATAATATTCAGTCTTCAGGGATTTATAGGGTGTTGGCATTTTAAATTACTTTTGAGGATTGTTTGTGGAGATAGAAAGCCTTGCTGCTCAAGTCACTTTTTTGTCGTGGTGGCTGGTACCTGATCAGTTTCATCAGACATATATCTTTGGGGGGTGGGGCTCTTCCAAATGAGGAGTTCAGCTTTCAAAATGGGCCTCATTTGCCAGAGAACTGACACATCTCTTGCAGCACCTGTTTAAGAACAAAGTGGCTTTTCAGTAAAGGCCATTGATGAGTTAAAGACAACAGAGATCAAGGCAGCTTCAATTGTGCTATTAAACAGACCAAGGAACTTGCTGTTGGAGCTATCACTACAAAATATTTCTGTACCTGTATATTGTAAAGTTGCATCTTGGAGACAGATAATCCGGCACCTTCTGCTTCAAGCAGGTTTACAAATGTGAAGTTCTCAGAATTCCTTTACCACCAGCTCACTTAAATTTGCACATCAGAAAGAAATTTAGTTGATGAATGCCTTGGAACAGAAGAGCATTTTCAAGCATGATTTTTTTTTCCTGAACAGATATTGCTTTTTGGCAAGGAAATTACTTGTAACCCTAAATACAGCTGTGATTAATTTATATATACCTATCATGAAGAAGGAAAGAGTTTTTTGCAACAGGCACACACAACAAAGTAGACAGGTGTTCATCATATGGGGTGGTGTTCCTACGCATTGCATTCAATTCTGTACACGTAAGTGAAATCTGTGTAAGGTTTCTTATAGGTGAAGCAGTCCTGAAGCTTTCTGGATTTCCCTAAAACACCCCTGTGTTCTTTCTGATTCTCTGTCCTTCTCTTTTTCTTTGTTCTGCTCTAATTTCTGTATCAATGCTATTTGTTGATGTGTGACTCCCCCTGCTGTAGAGGGAGAGTATTACCCTTGGGAGAGAGAACTTCAGCAAGGCCTCTGGCTTCAACGTCTCTCAAATGAAGAGGACACGGGTACATTTAAAGGTACCCTCACATTGTCATCACCTCCCCTAAAGGGGGGGGGCATTTTACAAAGAGCAGGCTTCACATGAAGCAACATATTATTTTAAAGTTGTTTCAACAAATTAGTTGTAATTGAGAATTACTGTCAACTTCCAGATAAGGAGCGAACAAAACCTGTAAATTTACAGCTCAAATTCTGTTTGTTTGTTTGCTTTCTTGCATCAAATACAACACCTGTGTGTCTGATTAAAGACTTCTGTGATCAAAGAGAGGAAGCCTCTGCCCATCTTCTGTTCCCATTTCTGTTTTGATTCTTTGGGAAGAGAGGTCAAGCCTGTGAAGGGTGCTGAGATGCCTACTTTATCTCATGAACCATATTTCTTTTGTTCCTTTTTTGCAGAATACATGATACACTGAAACAAAAAGCTTCAGTGCTTTATATGTAGTTTCAGTTATTATTGTACAAATCAGATAAAGGACACAGGAGTAATGACTGTTAACAAGGCCAATTAGCTGCCCTCAGATAAACATCTGTATCACACACACACACAAATTCCCATCGGAGAAATGTTCATTTTAAGGTCTCTTAACTGGCCAAGTGAAATTGGGAATGGTGAAATGCATTCAGAATAAGAAGGTACAGTTTGGGATGATAGGGTGAGGCCTGCTCTTTGGAAGCCTTGCTAGGTTTCTATAAATTTCCCTTCTACTCTCAATTCTTGCTGGTTGAAACTCACCCTTCTAACTCCTAATGCTGTATGATGTGGTATAAACACTAACTCTACTTACCCAAGGACTTGCATCAGGGGACTTGACAGCACGAGGTGCCATGTGGCCACCAGGATTCATCACTCACTTATGAATAGCATTTTTCCTTCCACAGTTCAGTTTTATAACTCAATTTGTGTCAAATTAGAAAGGTATTAATTAAAAATAGGACAGTCATGTTACTTTTTGAAATGCTTTTGTCTAGAAAAGAAGGGGGAACACAGAAGTCACTTTTATATATATAAATCATTTTGTAATGTCATCTTCCTGGGTTTTCTTAGTATTAAGCAAAGAATGCTAAAAACTACAGGTTTGTGTACTTTTTCTGTGCACATGGATATCCAGTTACTAGCAGAATGTGACTTTTTCCTACAATAATACTTAAAAGGAAAACTTAGAGATGGTGAATTCTTGATTAATAATATGCACCATTGAACCATTTTTGGCATGGAGTGGAATTTCCAAACTGCAATCCTGTCTGTGCATGTGTGGGAGAGGGCGAGTGAGCCTGGAGGGGAGCATATGCATGCATGATGCTGAATTTTACCTGTCTTCTTTTGCCAGCTGATCTCCGCAAGTAACTTCTTTCATTTTTCCCTCCCTTTCCCTGCATTTCTTTCCTATTGTGTGTGCTCCTTTTCCTTCCCTCTCTTTTTCCTCCCTTTTATCCCTTGCCACTCCATCAACATGATCCACCATTGGCCTCTTGTCTGCTAGCTGGAAACCTGAGGCTGCAGCAGATAGTAAATCCGATTGATCCACTGGAGATCTTGGCAGATGTGCATTGGACACACATCCGTCAGAAAGAGGAGGAGGAAAAACTGGGCCCTACTTCTAAGTCCTCCACCTCCAGAGGTAAACGTGTCTGCTGCGTTGACCCCTTCCATCACAAGGACATTTGTTCCCTATTGGTGTATCTCCAGAAAGGCCAACTCTCGAATGTCTTAATGTCACTTTTAGCAATGTTCATTTCAGGTTGGTCTCCGTTTGTTGTTGCTTACAAAGGCCATCAAAAGGGAATCTTCCAGGCTTGCATCCCTGGTTACATTTACGTTCTGATGCTCTCCTACTTAAAAGGATCTAATTGTAGCAGGAGAAAGATCTGAGTGCAGGACTTGATAGACCCTTGGCATGGTTTAGCAGGAAGTCTTAGCGGAATTTTATTTAACTCTGAAAACAAATTGTTATTCTTTGTGTCCACAACTTAGAGCTGTGTGGATTTCAAATTTTGTCTAAAAGCAAGAAGTGCCAATTTTCTTAAGATAGTACAATGTCAGCTCCTTTTGTGACAATACAGCTGGTATCTGATACAGTTTTGCTTAACATTAGGTAGGAAGGAGAAGATTTAAGTAACCCTACTAGGTGCTAAGTGCCCTACTAGGCTCCGGGTACAGAGGAGGATATGAGAGCAGGAACTGTCTTGGTTTCCTCTTTCAACCAGCTTCAATACGAGCAGAAGTGTCTTAATCTTAAAGTGGATGGAAGATAACAAAGGTGATTCCACCCTTGCTGAGGCTGAGTGGAAGAGAGGCTCATGGCACTCCCTGCTGTGTCTTACTTTCCCCTGTGCTTAACAAGGATATCATAGCCAGAGATGGTCCTCTCTCTGAGAAGCTTGTTCAAGGAAGTTTTGGCACCTAGGCTTAGGAAGTGGCTTTTAACGAGCCTGAAAATATGCCATGGAATGGTGAAAAAGTATGGGAACAGGGTCGCAATGATGGATGTCTGCTAGTATGCCTATGTGGGGTATAGTGGAAGGCAGTCCTTTGAGCAGGCCTTTAAGTGTTCTGGGCTTCCTAAAGCAGACAGAAGCAGTTCTACACTAGTGAGAGCTTGTGGTGACGGCTAATGCAAGACAGAAATGTGAAAGCAAGTAAGTCCCTAAATACCAGGAGCAGAGAAGTGTAGAAAGTTACATAGAAAGGCCAATCCATTTTTTTTTAAAAAAACATCAGTACTGTGGAGACCTCAGTTGGAATTTGGGATCCAGACTAGAGTAACAAGAACGATAAATGGCCTAGAAGCTAAATTATGTCTGGCGAATCTGAAAGAGTTGAGTATATTCATTGTGAAGAGGAAAGTTTTACTTTTGCATTTATTTAAATATATTTATATCTACTGCATGACTGAGAAATGTTTGAAGAAGAATAGAGAATGCAGTGCTAAATAATTAGGTTTTAAGAAGGTTACTCTTTCTTAAATGTTAGGGGAAATTCCCAAAGTATAAGACAAATATTGCCTATGACAGTTCTGGATTCTTCTTCCTTGGATAATTCTTTTAAAAGCTGAAACTGAATGCTTTTAAGTATCTTGCCTGTAGCGAAAGGGGTGTTGCTCAATGCTCCTTATTCTATGCAGGATTTGCGGGGAAATCCATACAAAGCATTCTCTGTGGGCCTCGTTAACCAGAAAAAAGCAGGGCGTGGAAACTTGAAAATTCTCTTGCATTGCCTCTGACTTCCTGTGCAAAGCAAACCTGTCGCTGTTGAGATAGTGGGCCCTTTCCTATGCTCAGAGCTCCCAGGAAATGCCTGCCTTTGTCATTGCCTGGAGCTGATGTTTGTTATGTCATTCCAGGTCTGTGTTGCTAAGGTACTTCCCATAAAGTAATTACTTTGCACAATAACTGTGCAGCTTGTTACTTTCCTCTTGCAGTGGGTTCCAGACTTCTCTCTAGGTAATTCTTCAGCTGCAGGGATTCATCATGTGCCTAGTATTCAGAGAGCAGCATGTTGCTGCTATAAAGCTGTCAGGATCTGTAGTCCGTTTAGGTTCAGTTTTGGTTATATTCTCCAAATGATTTGCAGTGTCTCGTCTTCCCTCTAATATAGAACTAACTTTTAATGGATGTTCTGTGTTTGATTTATATTGAAAATAAATTCTAATTAGAGTAGGTCATGTGGACACTCTTTGCAAGAGAAAGGTTATCTTTTCACTCTCTACACATTTCAGTTGTCAGGAAATGCCTAACCTTCAACTTCTGGCTGCATAATTTTCCCAGCCAGAATTCTCATGTTTTTGGAAGCCTCACATAGGTGCTGTTAGTCTTCAGCCATGCCTTTCATCATCCAACTGCATATTCGATCTGTCTGTCTCAGGAAGTCTCAAACTTTTTTTATAGCAAACCTCTTTAGGTCAAGGGAATTGTTCTTTCCTGGTTCTAAAGTTACAGGGCCAAAACTGAGAAGGCCCAGTCCCAAACACTGAGATCTTATTTCTCAAAGTAAAATAAAATTAAAAATTGAACTTGGAATGCCAGTAAATCTCGGGACCTAGGAAATTTTATAACAGAAGTAGATGTTTGTTTTTGCTTTATTCCACATGAGTGTGTTACATAAACTTTCACTGGTGACCTAGAATCTGAATCTGTGTGCCCTTCTTGGAATCTTCTGAGTTTTCTTTCCTCTTATCCTATTCACCATCTTGATTTTTATAAACTGTAAGCTGCTTTTACTGTCCACAGATTAATTTAGCAGAAAAGTACTATTCCTTGTCGCATAAATAACAAATACAAGAGAATGGTGAAAAGAGACTAGGGCTTGCTTAAGGAGTACCATACAGAAGATGGTAAATTAGACATAAAGTCACTCCTTTGTATTGTCTACAGTTCTACAGGAAAGGCTTTGTCAGGTGTGAGAAGTAAGAATCTGATAATTTTGAAGGACTATTAGGAAATAGGGAACAGCACTCTGGGTAATGCAGGCATCAAATGAGTCTGTAACAGATAAGCTTGGCAGAAGACACAGAACTGAAGAGCCTTTGGTGTGAGGACACTGTTCTAAACCCAACAGTTAGGCATACATAAACCCAATGAAATCCTTGAGTTTAAGTAAGCCTAACTCTGTGCTGGACTTAGGCCATTGAGTGCCTGACTGCACCTGGCACCCTCTAGGTGTGTTCAGCTACAAGTCACACAAACACTGTCCATTTGCCACTGTGATGGAGCTGGTGGGAGTTGTGGTCCAAAATATTTGAAGGCACCAGTTTGGGAAAAGTTGATACAGCACTTCACACACTTTAATGCATTAAATGCATGGGAATTGAAGAATCAGTTCAACCATCCAAAGGGAGGCGGGGACATAATACAGATAGGGAAAGGGATACATTTTGCAGGACTGTTGTGATTTGCATGAAAAGAAATGGCCCGCAGTAGTCGTAAGTGAGGCTTGATTGATCCAGAGCTTGGACAAGGATTCATCTGCTACCAGAAACGAACATCTTTGCACCACCTCTCCTTGCAGGTGGGTAGCAATAACCACTGCAGCAATTACTCATGCTTCAAGGATTCATGCTTCATCTTTCTCCCCCCACCCCCCGCCTTTCGGAGCAGGGGGCGGGACGACTTTGGTCTTCCCTGTGTTTGGTGTCTCCTTGGTCCCTCCCTTGATGTTTCCGTTTCAGATGTTTTCACTTTCAAAGTGTTTGTTTTGTTGCTTTGAAATTTATTATTATTTTATTTTATTTTAATTCAGCATCGGACCTTCCCTCCATACGCCACGAGGCAGTGCAGGCGTGGCTGGAAGCAGTCCCAGGAGGTAGTTTTGCTGATGTTCTGTTTTACAGCTCACAAGTAACCCTGCCCGCCACTGCTGGTGCTCCCACCTGCCCGGAATTTTAGTGTTCCAGCTGCTGGCCCTTTTTTAACCATGGAGCTATCTATGCCTTTGGTGCTACTGCATGCTGGGTTGGGGAGGAAGGAGAAGGGAGGAGGCTGCATGTCTCACTGAGATGGTTAATTCTTGCATGAACTAGGCTTCCACGTTAACCTCTCCCAAGGCAGGCCAAACAAAAAAGAGGTCCATGTGTATTATGAAGGAACTGCAACTGTTGTTGAGGAAGAAACAGATTTTTCATTTGTGCAGTAGGAAATTAGGACCAATTTAAATCTAACGTTTCTTGTACGTGGCACTTCAAAGAAGCTATGCAGATCCCTCTATGTTTTGAAGGTTGTTTTATGCAAATAATAATAATAAGGCCATTTATATAGAAATATATAGCATTATACAGCAAATGGTTCAAGTTACTTCACATTTTTCTATCATTAATCTTTTTCTCATTAATCCTGTAAAACAGGTTAAGATTATTCCCGCATTGTAGATGTCAGCTCATTTTAAGAGATGATACCTTGCCTTGTAGCTTCCTCTGAATTCATAGCAGAGGTGACATTTGGATTAGAGACATTTTCTTCACAGCCACTATGCTACAATAGCCCATGTGCATATGGCAGACATGAGCAGTGTGTAGTCCCAGGCACCTGGCTGGAAAATATCACAGTGACTTGGAAGCATCATGTTTACAGCGGCCCCTAGTTGTGAATTTCTAAGTTCTTCTATTCCTGAGAGAAACCTGGGCACCCCCTGAATTTGGCCTCATTTCAAAGAGGAGAAAACACTTTAACAAACCAAAGCTTGTTGTAACCCTAAAATCTGAGAGAGAGGTGGAATATGTTAGCTGTTCTTGCCAGACCATCTTCTGGATCAGGGGTAGCCAACATGGCACTCTCCAGATGTTGCCGCCATTTAGCATGCTGTCTGGGACTGAAGGAAGCTGCAGTCTAAAACATCTGGAAAATTTCCTACTCCCTCCCTGCACTTATTATTCAGAATAACCCCTGTCACTGAGGGCATTTTAGGAAAGAAGAACCAGGTTTTTACAAGCTAGAAACTTAATTTTGCATTATAGAAAAGTGATTACTTGAGATTTGGCACCTGAGTTTTGCATGAATGTAGTTAGTGCATTTCTAAAACCTTTTGCTGCTGACAGCAGAGCTTACAGGACGGCTGCATACCGCCTTATCCAGTTGTGGCTGCTGACCAACTTGGACAAAATGTTGGCTCCATTCGTTTCTGGCTACAGTAGTGCATAGCTCACAAATTTTGGTGTGACAGCTTTTATCCCTTTGCACTTCATCTTTAACTGCCTAGTGTGTGTAAATGCATACTTGTACAATAACTGTGAATAGGTACGTGTCTCCACCACACCAATATATGTTTGCACCAACGTGTTCCCAATCTGTACCTCCATTAAACACGTCACTGACTTCTGAGGTCTTTATTTTTATTCTGTGAATCAGCCTAAGGTTATTCTGTGAACCGCCCTTAGACCTCCGGGCATGGCGGTATATAAATTCAATAAATAAATAAAATAAATATATCTTGATAATGTTAACAGGGCAGTCATGGGAAATTGCATGATAGCTTGGGCAATTACAAAATTTCATTTTTTAAAAAGGATGTTCCAAAATGTTGCATCACTTAGCGCCAATTCTTTTAGTCTCTGAGATGCTATATTCCAGTTTACCCAACCAGTACTTGCTTTGGATAGTTGCACAGACCAGCCAAAGTCTGGTAAACGTATGCCAAATATGACTGTGCTTTGAAACTACTGCTTTGCAAGACAAAATGCACCCAACAGAAAACAAATCTGGTGTCATAGACTTTCAGATTATGATCTAAGAGGTCACCTAGGCAATTTCAGGGCAGAGATGGGTAAAGTGAACCAATTAAAAGTATCTGTGAGCTGAGCTATATGATCAGTAGTGTAATATAGTGCAACTCAAGGTTGGCTTTATCATTTCAAATGCAAATAGGTTTGAATGCTTCCATGTTTTGTTTAGGTTTTTTTTTAAAAAAATGTTCTATATAGTTTTCTCTCTGACATGCTAGGTTTAATATGCAAAGTGTGGTTTTATGGGGGCAGCATACAAACATACAGCACACCTCACTTTTAACTAGTGGTATAGTTCAGCAGCGTCTGCATCACATGATATTACTGTTTCTGGCGCTTAGATCTTCATACACAAAAGTGGACTTCTGAAGAGACCACAGTACAACTTAGAACTTGAACTTACATAGATCTGTTTTCTCCCCTACCCCCGTTTCTTTATGTATCATATTTATTCTAGCCCTGTGTGAGGAGAACGACTATGAAGATGAGGCAGGCACCGAGCCTGCAGAAGCTATTGAAGATGGGGACACAGGTGCAGAGTTGGATGATGGTATGGGACCATGAACTCCCTAGTGTGTCGTCAAACGTAGTTTCTGTAGTACAAAGTCATGTCTCAAACGGGTGCAGTGGTGGTATTTTGTGCAAGACTTAGCAAACCCCAAAACATTTGAGCTCAGTGCATGTGCTGTTTTAGCAGCGTGTGAATGTGTGTGGAGACAGTTGTAATTACAATTGTAATGTTTTATTCATTTGAGGATTAGCGGTGCTCAAGAAAGCTTCTGAGATGAGTGGAGAGAACCTATTGCTATCAATATTGACCTAGAGCTAGCCATGTGCTAAACGGGTATACAGAAGTAATAAAGGATAAGTTAATTATTCAGAGAATGTGCCAAGTCCTTCACCAGCAGATTGTTTTAATGGGGGGCCATTTTGAGAATCAGATGCAGAAGGTGAGCCAGCCACCCTCCGTCCATCTGATTGCCTTCAAATCTTACTGTCACAGCCACCATTTCCCTTCACTCATCTCTCTTGACTCTGGGTTGGCAAGGTGAAATCTTACCACGAAGACACTCTAGATTTGCATGTCAGATCCTTTAGTTTTTGTTCTTCTCCTTTCCTTGCAAAAAACAATGGGGAGCAGATGACATCCCATCTGATGCAGAAGCAGAGTGCCGCTTGCATCAAGAAGAGGCAGAAGAACTGGAGCTGAAAGTCTCTGAAAAGAAGAAGAAGAAGAAGAAGAAGAGACAGCTGCCCCTTCTGTTGAGACAGAAGGTACCAAAATTTAATCATCAAGTCTGAAGCCCCAGGCAGTTTTGAGCAGTCTGCACTGCAGGCAGTACAGTATTCTAACACGATACATGGTTCTCATTACCATTAAGTAAATCTGTGGCAAAGTTGCCAGAGAACATTTGCTGCTCAGGGAATGCTTGCAGGTGGCTGGCATGAAGGTGTACACATGGAAAATGTTGTGTCAGGTTATGGGAATGATAGGCTGCCTTTTTAAAACCTGATTTGTCAAAAGCCCTAAAAGAAAAAGAATAAAAGGCCAAGGAATAATACTTGACATCTGACATTTTTATGGCAGCTGATCTTACTTGGATATTCAGGCTTCATAAGGGGGTACTAGCTGGAGCCATGTTCACATTGGGGAGTCTTCTCAGTATGGGATACCTCTGTGGTGCTAGTTTCCATCAGTGGCTTCCTTTTGGCTCTATAGAAGGAGGACTCCACGACTTACAGCCAACCATCTTAGACTGGCATGAGTCTTGTGGAAGCTGCTTCTGCTCTCTTGCCTTTGGGGTTTCTTACTATCTTCCCTGGAAATGAAGGCTTCTCTTGTCATCTTCTGGCTTAATTTTCATCCTGCCCTTCTAGAATTTATGGAATTTGCTACTGCAAAATGTGGTGGTGACCACTAGCTCACGTAGCTTTGAAGCAAATAGGCAAATGCATGGAAGACAGGGTTATCAGTGACTATAAGCTACAATTCGTGTCTCTGAATCCTTCTTGTGCACTTCTCAGAGGCCACTATGGGAAGCAGGATAGACTAGGATTGACCTTGTGTCTGGTTCAGCTGCCCTTTACTGCTAAACATATTTCTTTTTGACCTGTAATGAGCCACATCTCCCTCTCTACAAGCAGTGTAATATTTTAGCATCTAAAGCTACAATCCTGTGCATACCTATTTGTGAGTAACCTCCACTCATTTTAATAGTACTTGCTGCCAAGTAATATGCATCACATCAGGCTGCACTGACCATAGCACTGTGACTGTCTTGTACAACTGGGTGGAATGGTAGTGTTCAAGTTAAGTACCAAGTTGACTATCTGGAAATAAGCATGTAGGTGGCGGTAAACTCAATGCACTTCATTTGGTTTAAAATAATTATGGACTTATTTGTTGGTTTTCCTTCAGACCCTTGCAAGCTCTGTCTGCCTGATCAGTCACCGTGTGAGAGGGCTGCTCTGCCGACTCCAGCTGAAAACCACAAGGAAGAAGAAAAAGAAGTAAGAAAAGGGATTGTGATTTTCTTAATAGCTAATGCTTGCATACCCAGCTGAGTAAAATGTTAAAAGAGAAACTTGATCACAACCCCTGATTCCATACACAAAATATTTGTAAGCTTATTTTCAATTTTTATTTGTGTTGCTTTATAATAGATTGGCTTGCAACATAAATGCATGTGGATGTGCTTCTCTCATTGAAACAGGACTGACAAATAATTGGTTTGGAATCTCTGTATAAAAACAAGTTCCAAACATTCTGCCATGAATATGCTTAGAACAAAAATTGGTGAAAAATTAATGGGAATGTGTTTTAAGAAATTAATTGAGGTAGCTGAAGCCACTGAATTTGTGAGAGTGCTGCCTACGTTATATTTGGTACTTGGGGAAAAAAATCCAGAGTACAAAACAGAGGCATCATTTGTGAACACTGTGCTTTTGTACAAATAGTGGCTTTTAATAACAATATTTATTATTCATAAAGTTGCTCAGCAGTCTAAAGCATATTTCAAAAATCAAGACAGGCCCTTCCCACACACTTAGAATCCTAGGAACACAAACCTACCTATGGAGAAGGTGTGATCTCATCCCTGTTGGTGCTCTCATTTTTGTTGTTTTTGCAAGCAAAGCCCGCAGTGCATCCATATATTATTCTGTAAGGACACAGTGCATATGCATTTAGAAAACACTACTCTTCATTTGATTCACAACAATGTATTTATTTATTGAAATATTTATATCCCACCCACCAGTTAAATATCTATAGAACAACAGAAAATACACATCTTTCAAATGACTGCCCCACCCCCACTGTAAATGCCTGAGTAAATAAAATCATTTTAAGCTAATGAAAGAAAGGCCAGTGCAAGACAGGAGGCCAGCTGGGACACCATCACAGAGAAGGCTCTCGCGTCATGGGTACAATATGTGAGGCCGCTGACACCTTAGGTGAAGCCATGTTTGACTTTTGTACCTCATGCTCTGGAGTTTTCTTAGCTTTTTGAAAAGCTGATTTACTTTGGACGTTAAGAAACAGCTTGCTAGTATCAAGCAGTACTTTTAATTGGCTATATTCTGTGACAAGGGGGGTGGGCAGTGGCAGAATGAGACTTTCTCTTTATTCTTTCCCATAGATTTGTAGGTAAAAGACTCATTTCCCAGAATCTTCTTTACTTCAGTCTTTTGCAGGACAATTTTCCAACTTATTCAGAGCTGAGTCAGTCATTCCTTGAGGATGTGTCAGAAGTCACCCAACAATCATCTTTGCTGGCACTTCGTGTGACTTGAACTAGTGTTATGAAATACAATCCACGTGCCTTGTGGTTTTTTTTTTAACACAACTTAAATGCTTAAATTTAAAAAAAAATACAGAACAAGAATAACAATAGTTAGTACCACCATGTCCAAAAAGTACACAACGATTTAAATAGATATAAAAGTAATGCTGTCATAATGCCTGAATAAGTAATAACTCATACTGGCTAGTACTGTAGTCCTTATTCATGTTCCTTATTCTCCAGCTGTCTGTCTGTTCTGCCCTTAGATCTGCATCATATTACTGAATCTGTTGAGAGCTAGGGTTGTGAATTAAATTCTGACAGTGGAAAGTACCCAATGTTGCATGGGAATTCTTAGAAACAAAATCCTCCCTGATATTTACAACTGGAAAATGTGATTTGTTACAAGGGCTGTGTGTGCCCCCCCAGTCCTGCCCCAAATCAATTCAGGAGGCTGGGTTAATATTTAGTTTGGTTCTTTTAGATCCTATGCAACTGGGACAGGGAAGGAGAAATTGTTTCTTCTTTCTTGCTTCCCCAACTGCACTGCAGAATGCAGAAGGGTTCTTCTTGCTGGGTTCTTCTTCACCAGCATGCTTCTTGCTGGGAACAGATCACTGTAGTCAGCGGAACTTCACCCTTGGTGGACGACTAGTGTATGTACCAGGTCTGTTTGCCACCTTCCCTCTCCCATGTCAGTGCCCTCAACGTGTCTTAGCTCAGTTTAGACCCAGGCGTCCCTGCTGCCACCACCAACGATGCCACACCACTTTACTCTATGGCCGCTTCTTACTCAGCTATTGTTGCTGTTGCCACCACCAGTATATTGCAGGTAGCGGCTGCCTGAGCTGGACCCACGTCACTACCACTCCCACAAACAAACCTTTGCATCAGCTATCACCATGGGGGCCATAAACAAGTATGAGAAACCAACCTGCAACATGGGGACAGTTCTCCTGTCCCCCTCTCCCCCACGGTTAGGTTCTCTTCCCACTTAGGACCTTTGCAGTCTTGGCCACCCATTTTTCAATCCTGCTTGGGTCTACTTGCTCAGTACTTTCCCTGTAGGTGACACACTGGCAATCCAGATCCCTGCAGCCAGCAATATTGCATCCTCCAGCCAGTGCCTCATATGAGGAGAGTGTGCATTCTAGAATATTTCCCAGAATTGCTCATAACAATCTAGGGGTCTGTGGCAAACATGGAGCAGCTGGTATATGTACAAAGTTTGGAACTCCTTGGTCTAGAACCTGCTGGTGGGTGTTTTGTTCCACTGATGATGCTCTGTGTTTTATATCTGTCTGTGTAGGACTCAAAGGAGCTTCTTGCAACAGCGCCCTGCAAAGACGAATCCCCCGATGTACGGTTTTTCCCTGAACCGTTCCTCCCAGGAGAGGAGGCGCAAGTCAAGATCTCTGATGACCAAAAAGTCAAAAGCCCACCTGCACCACTCTCTCCAATACGGTCCCAGCCAGTTGCAATGCCTGAGACCATCACACCAACATCACCTGTGAAATCGCAGCCAGCAACTCCTGCAGCACCTGCATCTCCACCTGCCAGCCCCTTGCCTATTTGTTCACAGCCTTTACCTTCTGGTGAAGCATCCATTCAATCTCCAGGGGAACCTGTGTGTTTCCAACCAGTCCCAGCCTTAACCTCCACTCCTTTGGCCAAGCTTGCCCTAAAAAATCAAGATGGAGAGATGGAAAAATTGGGGAGCCCTACCACAGCAGAAGAAGCTTTGAAAAGGAATAATCTTGTGGAGGAGTTCTGGATGAAGAGTGCTGAAATCCGGAGGAGTTTGGGTCTCACCCCTGTGAACAGAAGCAGGGGACCAGAGCCAAGCTTTACCATTTCCCCCCTTGAGTCTGCCCCCCTGAAAACATACACCCCTGAGCGTATTTCAGAAGAGAAGGGGATCCACATTGTAAAACCTCAGTCAAAGAAGCCAGTCACAGCAAAGCTAGACAGTGAGCAGTTTTCTTTGCTGACTCCAAAGTCCCCATCAGAGAGAGAGTTGAAAAATTTGAGTGATGTTAAGAGAGAGCTGTCCAGCAGTTCTGGACTGGGTCTTCAGGGCAGTTCATCAAACATGAGAACATTGGCCAGCCAGAGTTTCAACACTTCCGATTCCACCATGCTCACTCCTCCATCCAGCCCTCCTCCTCCACCACCTCAAAACGAAGAGCCAGCAACACTACGGAGAAAAAGGCACCAGGCAACTTGGCAGAATGAGGCTGAGTCTAAGCCGGCTTCTATGCAAACACCTCACCCGCCACCAGCAGCCAATGAAAGGATCCGGCCAGCCAGGGAGCCATCCCAGCCCTCCAGAGAGGAGGTACGGAAATCATTTGTGGAGAGTGTAGATGAGATACCATTTGCCGATGACGTGGAGGACACTTACGATGAGAGGACTGAGGATTCGAGCATCCATGAAAAATATTACACGCCCCCCAGTAGGCCGAGGCCAGAGAAGTCTCTTCACCTACATTTTGTTAAGGAGAATGGTGGGCCACCATCAATGGAAGGGGGGAGCCAGCAAAAGAGAGGCCTCCCTCAAGTCTCTGCAGAAGCGAAGGAGCTAGCGGAGGAAAGAATGAGAGCCAGAGAGAAGTCCATCAAGAGCCAGGCCTTACGCGATGCCATGGCTAAGCAGCTATGCAAGATGAAAGAGCTGGAGATGGCCAATGCTGCTGGCGCTGCCAAGTTGCACAAGGCATCTACCATGCCTTCAAAGACCAAAGAGCTGTATTTTGAATCCCAGAAGCATTTGGGTATGAAAGCTGGCGAAGGCCCCACGCTGAAACACGAGGCTAGTAGTGACAGGTTCTTTTCACCCTTTGCAGACACCAGTGGGCATGATGGGTCAGTCACATCCTCAGAAGGCTCTGGAGGGAAGAGTAAGAAAAGGACTTCTCTCTTCTCCCCCCGCAAGAACAAAAAGGAGAAGAAGTCCAAGAATGACAGCAAGCTCTCTGACAAATCCAGCAGTGCGGCTGAGGAAGCCACGAAGCCCAAATCACTGTGGAAGTCTGTGTTCTCTGGCTATAAGAAAGACAAGAAGAAAAAGACAGATGACAAATCCTGCCCTAGTACACCTTCCAGCGGGGCCACAGTGGATTCTGGGAAGCATAAGGCGTCTCCAATAGTTAGAGCAGCAGGTATAGTGTCACTGACTGCATTCTTTAGTGAACCTGAAAATCTTTTGCAGATTCCTTCCATGCACAGAATATGAGCCCAAGAGATATTTGAGCAATGTAACCTGTGATTTGGGAGGTGATTAAGGGGGGAGGGGAGAGATAAGCATAAAAAGGCAGAAGAGGAACAAGGAAAGCATGAAAAAAATAGTATTTTACAAAAGCATGGGATTTCTAGTTTTAGCTCGAGGAATAGGAATATGTGTTCCTCTGGATGTTCATGTACCCCAGTTCCAAGCAGTCATGGATGGTATCTGGCAAACAACACACCACACGCTCCCTTTGAAGTGATGTATGCAAGGCACATGCATATTTTCTGTGGGTGCTTTCAGGGACTCCTTCAATTCTTGCAACCTCTTTCTCTTTTAAAAGTGAAATTGTAGAAACAGCTTTCTTGTGGGAGGCCGGATTTTGGGGGGGGGGCAGTTGCTCTGATGATGGTTGAGAATTAGCCCCCTACTCCTAAGCAGCATATTCACAGGCAAGCACATTTGGGGGAGGGATACACAGCTACCCAGTGGTATCATTGTTCGCTGCCTAACTGGGAGCAGCTGTTTTATCCAAGTGCCCCAAATGGGCTACAAAAGATCCTATGCGTGGCCTAGTTTTGTGAGGCATGACTGGACACATCCATGAGTTTCCATTTTGCTGCAACACCCAGACTCTAGGGATATTTGTATCAGCTGCAGTGTTAGGCTTGATGTATGAGTCATCGTTTTCTCCCCCCAGTTCCCATCTCAAGCCTGGTGAAGTCAGTATGAACAGTCTGCTTCATTGTCAACCACGCTTGGGAGTTTAGGATTAGGTTCATCTGGTTCTGTGCCCTGCTCTTATTTTAAGCCACTTGGACAAATCCATTTGGAGGATAGTGTTCTGAGTGATCTGATGGTTTTCTTTCTCATATATTGTCTGACTCAGTTTATAACTTTTAAAATAGCAGGTTGATTATCTGGAGAATAAGTAATAATGGTGCCTCAGACGAAATCAGAAATATTCAGCAACTTGCAGCTTGAGGCCCAGCTCATAAACTTCCATTCCAGTTGCAATGGTATCGGCCTAATTGGTAGCATACCTTCCAGATAACTTGCTTGGCTTGGAAAGAATAAGTTCCAGCTGTTCTTCAAGAAACATCTACACTGCTTTTTGAAGAAAAGTATTGAAGAAGTATAAATCAAGGCATCTGAGAAAGTTACTAGTGGAGGTGCAAAAAGGTCACACTCTTTGATCTTCCGCAGATTATTATAATTAATGCCAGCAGCATGATATCTCTTTCCCATGTCATAGAAGAGGAGGGATGTAGTCTTACTGTAGGTAAAACAGGGACAGATAAACCTGGTGTCTATTTGCTTTCTTCCACCGAACTCATAGATGCACAAACACACACTCCTTTTTATCTTCACAACAACAACCCTGTGAGATAGGCTAGGTGAATACCTCAAGGTCACCCAGTGAACTTCATGACCAAGTGAGGATTTGAACCTGAGTCTCCCCAGTTCCTGCCCAGTTTGACACTGTAACCACTGCACCACCATGGCTCTCAGTGATGTGGTTAGAAATAAATTTAGTAGGGACTAGGGAGGAGAAATGTGTCCTTCAGCATTAAAGAAATTGAGCACACAGATGTCAAAGAACATCATTAAAAATGGGGAGGGGGAATCACAAACGGCCAGGGCATTGCTCCGGGAGAAAGGGGTATCTGTTCTAGTCAATGTAGCAGCAGTGGGTGGTGTGTTATTTTTTTCAGACTTCAAGAGACTCATCATCTAAGTTCATTATGATGCCAGCCGCTCCTCTGGCTGTGTCATCTGATTTGTTTCTTTACCATCGCAGATTTGCAACTACGTCGACACTTAAGCTTCTCTGAGGACTCTGACCTCTCCAACGATGACGTCTTAGAGCGCTCTTCACAGAGATCCAAGCGAGAGGTAAGATTAAACTGGGTGGGAAATGTTGAGCTAGCTGTGCTCTTTCAAAGCCAAGATAAATAATAAAACCTTAGGAAAGCTGAAGTGATTAATGTTTAATATTGCCTATTAATTTACTTTAGCTGGGCTGGAAGAAACCTGCAGACAAAAGCCCACTTTTGGATATATCTGGGATTATACTGTAAAAACTCAGTGTTTATGAAGAACATTGCTTTTCACATCTATTAATAACTATATATGGTATCTACATAGGTCAAATGATCTGCCTATCTATACAAACATACTTTTAGCAAATGTAGGAACTGTGACATGCGTATTTAGCACACTGACCACAATTGCTTTATATCAGTTGTCCATTGGGGTATAGAACAAACACATTGATCCAGAAATATAGGTCCTCCTGAGGAATCCTCACTTATGGCCTGAAATGCTGGATCTCTTTCCTAAATGATTCCACTGGCTATGTCTCAACCTCAGTTGTGTGATCTGTAGCATCAATTTATCATCTCACATTGCTCCTGTTGAGAATGAGATGTAGCTTGCAAAGCTGGTATGTTTGTTCCAGTTGTTGTTCCTCCGATGTGTACTGGGAATGGCTTGTATGGATTACACCTCATGACAAACCATATCACTGGTTTAGGACTCAATTTCCAAGCTTTATGGGAAAGTCACTACCTCATCAAAGAGGTGCTAAGTTCCTTGCACTGTTCAGTTTTGTGACAGTGAAGAACACCCTACAAGCGCTGTTTCAAATGGCAAGATGGAGGTCTTATTTGCAAGTATGATTATTTGCATGTCGAGTAAATAATCTGTACTTTTTCCTGCTAAAAGATCTGCTTGTGAGTAAGCACTCAGACTGGCCACTTTTATCTTGGATGATAAATTACAGCTCAGGCAGCTGTCCAAGGATGATGACGTAAGCTTGTAAATGTGACTGTCTTTCATACTCAGACGCTGAGTTTCTTCCCATGTTTAACATACCTATATTTGAGCTGTTGTTTTTTATTGGACCCTTCCCTACCCCCCAACTTCCCACATGCTTGCCTTCAGGCTTTTCCTGGCAGGTTCCACATTACATCTGGGATGCAAAGGAAGGAGGAGGTACCTGGGGATGCTGGAAACAGCATCATGGGAGAGGGTAGTAGTAACAATGTGGTGGGTTCTGATAAGTCATGAAGCAGTTACTTATTCATGTCCGCACAGAGCAGAAATGAGAACCTGTGGCCTTCCAGATGTTGTGGGATTCCCACTTCAACCTTCCCCAGCCAACATAGGCAATAGACAGGGAGGGTGGGAGTTGCAGCCCAGCAACATCTGTAGGGCCTTGGTACCCAATCCCTGGCTTAGAGTCCTGAAGCTGCCTCAACGTTCATATAGCTGCTTAGCATGGATTGGTTAGCGCTTCTACCACATCTGATTCACACAGGTGGCCAACATGTGATGAAGAGTGAGAATTACTTCACCTCTAAATAGCCATTGGAGTGCTTAATGGTTGTTTTGTTGTGAATTTTGAATATTGCAGACATTCCAGGTATCTTAATCCTCAGCAAAGAACTGTTATTAATATGTATTGAGAGTTGCATCAAGAAGGAATATGTACTGAAAGAGTAGAAGTAATTGGTTATTTTACCAATCTTAACTCCTCCAGTTACATGAATGAAAGGATGGTTAAACATTCCATGCACTGACTAATCCTCTCCAGTTCTGATATTGAGCTGGGATGCATAAAACAAAGCAGCTCCCTTACCTCAGCAGAGAGATCAGGAGCAGGCTGCAGGATTGTTGTGTCAGTGACAATACATGGCTTGACTGCAGTGAAGGAGAGAGGGGAGCAGCTGTGAGGAAGAAATACACAATTGCAGTCTGTTCCCCATTGCTTAGTTGTACTTCATAGAGCCACCTTTGCTCTTCACTGCCCCAGTGTGATGTTTTCCATGCTGGTGAGTTGTGAGAACAGAAGTGGCAGGGTGTTGTGGGATGGTCTTAATTTGATTACTAATCTGGAATGCAAGGGCATGGTCTTGTGTGTACCTCCTGAGCCAGTATTTTCTTCTCTCTGCTACATGACCGATCATGAACTGCTTATAGACCAAAACCCAGCAGCTAGCGCTCTCGTTGCAATACCAGATCCTCTTCCCAAAGGTTGCCTGTTTGATGTGGTTTACTGTAATGTTTGCGATTAGCTCTTTAGTTTCGTCTGCTGTCTAACACTAGAAGCAGCTTCTAAATAAATGCTGGTATAGCTTCCTGTGGGATATGTGCTTCTTGGAGCTTTGGTCAGTGTATGTGTGTATGTGCTGATGTTGTAAATATTTGATATACTTAGTATCTGGCTGTTCGTTCAAGGATATATTTCCTTCTCTGGTAGCCTGATGAAGTCTGAGGTTTTGTCTAAAGCAGGGGTCCCCAACTGTCATGGCTGTTACGGTCATGGAGGACCCCTGCTAGTTACAAAACAGATCAACCTTTGGCCTGGTCCACTAGGCTTTTCTTATGCTCTTATGCTAAGGGGGATGTTTGACACTGTGGGTGTCACATTGGAGGACCCAGAGTCTAAACTCTGGTTGCACTTCAGTTTCCCCTTCATGTTTATGCATTTATTTAATGAAGATTAAGTGTACTATGAATCAAGGGACTTGGGTGGCATTGTGGGTTAAACCACAGAGCCTAGGACTTGCTGATCAGAAGGTCGGCAGTTCAAATCCCTGCGACGGGGTGAGCTCCCGTTGCTTGGTCCCTGCTCCTGCCCATCTAGCAGTTCGAAAGTACGTCAAAGTCCAAGTAGATAAACAGGTATCGCTCCAGCGGGAAGGTAAATGGCGTTTCCATGCGCTGCTGTCGTTCGCCAAAAGTGGCTTAGTCATGCTGGCCACATGACCCGGAAGCTGTACGCCGGCTCCCTCGGCCAATAAAGCGAGATGAGTGCCGCAACGCCAGAGTCGGCCACAACTGGACCTAATGGTCAGGGGTACCTTTACCTTTACCTTTAAGTGTACTATGAAAGTACTGAAAGGCAGAGTGACATGTGTGCTTTAAGCAATTCCATAAAAGGTACCATACAATTGCAAAAAACTGGGCACAAAATTCAGTGTTCTGAAAAATCACATTTCATTTTTTAAAAAAGAGTCACACTTATAGCCTATGAAACAGAGATGGGGAAACTCTGGTTTACTAGCTGCTGCTGGACACCATTCATCCCTGTCCTTTGGCTGAGCTTCCTGGGGCTGATGGGAGTTGTAGTCCAACAATTTCTGGAGGGCTACAGTTCCCCCATTCCTGCTATAACACTTCTGAGATGGGTAATGCCTTGGGGAGGAGGAAGATTTTCCAGGGTAATTGACCGGGCTTCAATGCCCTGTTTGGCTCTTTGCCCTGCATAACTATCCAAAGCAGCACCACGTGCAAATTTTCATTTGCAAAATTGTTTAACTGAGTGCTTTCCAGTGAAAACAGGGTGGAAGGATATCTAGGTGCCCTGTGGAAAACCTTAACGTCTGTAAAGGTAAATCTCAATTCAAGTAGAAGATTGGAGTCAGAATTGAATGTCAGACTAGGCATTCATACACAGTTTCATTAGACAAGAAATAGTTATGTGACTATTCCTTGGGGGAGAAGCACAGATACACATATGGGGGGGGGGTATGATCAGCTGCTTTCTCCCATGTCAACTCTGTCACTGCCATAGTTGTCTTTAAACTCCCTCCTTCCACTATTCCTTCTGAATAGTGACAGAAGCTTTGCAGAAGCCTTTTCTTCCAATCCAGCTGCGCTGCAAACTTCCATTTCCTTCTGCCTTGGCCCAGGCAAGGATGCAAGCAACAGAAGAGTGAAACAAGGAGAGGGCTCTGTGTAATCCTCTTTTTACTGTTCATGCAGGAGCAAAGAGAGTTAAGCTTCTGCATGCATTTAAGCTTATGATAGTGAATCAGTAGGCTGAGCAACAATAATAACATCTCTTAATTAAAAACAGCTGCTTTGTTGCTATGTTGTACCTAAATTGGTCTGGCCTGGACTTCCACAAGTTGTGATCCCTGCCATCTCCCAAGCTGAACAGTGCTCCCAAGCCATGTATATTAGTGCACCAAGAGTTTGGTGAACCAACTCTTTCTGTTGCCTGTGACTACCAAAATTGGCAGCGGGGGTTGGGTAGGGGGTAGGGTTGTGCATCGTGACAGGCTACAATACATGGCTTGTAGGTTGCATTTGGGTTTGGGTCACAGGCAGTGCAGGCCTGGTCAAGTATTTGTTTCCTGATTCTGAAGCATTCACCCTCATACATAGTGCCATGTTGCACTTTGAGCAACCTTTGTGTTTGTTACTGTTCATTTTGTTTTCAGCGTTTTAATGTTTAACTGACTGTGCTCCATTTTACGTGTGTGGGTTTTATTATTTATTTATTTTTGCCTTTGCCATTCCTTCCCCCTCCCCCTTTTAAAGTCGATTTACGTCCCACACGCCTTGGCATTCAAGAGATCATACGCATCAAAGGTAGTGTCTCCATTCTCATTGACTGGCCACAGTTGCATGCATTCCCATTATTAACCTACCAGAACTATAGTCTATGTCCCATCTCCCTGCCTTTGTTTGTACTAATGTAATTCCTGACTGCGCATGTATGAAATGGTTAAAAGAAAATAAGGGCAACCCGATCAAGAAAATGTCAAATCCTAAACCTTCATGCTCACTTGAAATGCATGCAGTATGTGCATCAAGGATCAACTAGAGAGAGAGAACCTGTTGATCTTGGTTTGTTGCTTTTTGAAAAGGTTTTAAAGGGTATTTTGCTGGACATATTAGGTACTTACTTATATCTGGTATAAATTAAAATTATTTTACTTTATTATTTATTGCATTTTTATTCTGCTCATCCTCCAAGGAGATCAAGGTGGCTTACAAGATTTCCCCATTTTATCCTCACAACAACTCTGATAGGTAGGGTAAGCTGAGAGGAAGAGATCAGCTGAAGGTCACCCAGTGAGCTGAATGGAGATTTGAGCTTGGATCTCCCCAATTGTAGTCCTCTACTCTAATCACCATGCCACACAGTAGCCTTGGCCATTATAATTTATTGATATGTTTCTGTACACTCATATAAGTCAGTGTAAAAATATAAGTATACACATAGGTAGAGTGCACAAAACAAGCATCATTTTAACAACAACAACAACAACAACAACAACAACTTTTGCAAATACTTGTGTTCATTCCCACAGTTCTCCAAATCATTTGGTTAATTCTGAATTATTGATAAAAGCTGGGGTATCACAATATCACCTCAGTTGCCCCTCTTCCCATTCTAAGCACATTCACATCAGTGGCTGTAATTGGTTTTGTACCTGTTCCATTTCCCTAAGGAACTCTTGAGTTCTATGTGAGTGTGACCTAGATATGTCAAACTGACTTCTCAGCAAGCTACAGTTCTCAAGATTCTTGGGAGAAACCAGTATCAAGTTTGTTGTGCAGCGATGCCTTCCAACTCTGCTCACAGGTTATATTCTCATGTTACCATTTTGTGTGTCGAAATCTACACATCTATGAAGGCGTGCACATTGTAATGTGAGAGTTGTCATCCAGGTGTGTTTTCTTCTTTTGGCGTAGTATATGCTTCAACTTCTTGATGCATACATTGAGCCAAATGGGAAAGAAGTGTGCAAACATTCTCAGCTTAGGAAATGCAGGTTTTCCTGCTGAAGTGTGGATTTTAACATATAAAAATAATATGAGAAGTAGCACTTGGTTTCAGGTTGGAGTCTTGAATAAGAAAACAGTGAAAGAGGCAATTCACGGATTTGCTTTTCTCAGGGCAAACACATCACTTTTACACATTCTCTGGCCAAATACTTACATAAGCTACCAGTGAAACTGTTAGGTATGGGCTTAGTGGGGCTCCAAAGTGATCTTCCTGTGATTTAGCTTCTTTTTAGCACTAATAAACTCTGGTAACTCTAATGACTTCCAATCTCTAATCTGACCAGGATTTCAGCCACCCAAATCTTGTTGACTTGATTTTTTAAAATGGCATGAAGGTAATAGGGGATGCTGGGATATTTGTGTCAATGGAGGCTGCTCTGAATTGTCAAGGGAGGATGATATATTAGGAAAACTCATGCTCCACACATCTTGTTACAACATAGATGTGAATTCTCAGCCCCAAAGCAACTCTGTAAGTTGCATGTCTATCTTGAAACTAGTTGTGTATATTATTGATTTTGGCAAGATGTTTAAAAGACACTGGAGCATGTGTCCATAAAACTGGAAGACATAGGCAGCTTATAACCCCGTAGAGCTAGTTCACACCACAAATTTATAGCGAAGTTGTATGATCAGCAGGCCCATGTGACACAACTGCTACTTGACCATTTAAGACTGCTGTTAGGGTGCTCTCACAGTTGTATGCTTGCCTAGAATGTTTTTATGTGAGCTGGAAGGATATTTGCGTAGCTTTCCTCATTGCGTTCTAGTTTTGTATGTGCTAAGAATTGACTTTTTAATATAGCAAAAAATTCATATCGCCATTATTCCCTCTTGCAGGTTGAAGTGATTACATAGGCCTTTAGTGCATTACATAGGCCTTTAGATCATGAGTTTCCTCTATTGTTGCATTGAAAATGCAGGTTGAGTGGTTCCATGCCCTGCTGATTAAGGGATTGGTAGGAGTTGCAACCTGGACTCATGGTAGCACAAGGAAATAGGCAGTATACCATGTGCTTTAATCTACAACGAACTCTCAGCCTACTTCATAAGATGATTTGGTCATGGGTTTATTTTTTTTACTTTGCCTAGGTCAAAAAGTAATACAACAGGCTCCCTTCTTTGTAAGAAAGTTGAATTGAAGAGAATGCAGCTGTAACTGGAAGCTCTCTGTTAAATCACTGCTTTGCACCTGATTCATGCCTTTCCTTCACACCTTACTTCTGCACCAAGGCCCACGCACTGCACTGTTAGCACTCAAATTGACAGTTTGCCCACTGAGAAGAAAGCCCAGCAAGTAGCACCTTCTGTTCCTACTTATTGAGGCTGACAGCTTTGTTGTAAGGGACTGAAATGCATTCCTCTCTTTATTGCTGCAGAAAGCATACACGGAGGATGAGCTCAACGCCAAACTGACCAGGCGGGTGCAGAAAGCTGCTCGCCGTCAAGCCAAGCAGGAGGAGCTGAAGAGGTTACACAGGGCTCAGGTAAAGCCATAATTTTCATCCATAATTTCCAGGAAGAAAAATTCATGAGCCTTTAAGAAGATGACCTTCTATGTGCACATCTTTGCAGTGTGCATCAGAAAACTGCATGTCTCGAGGAAGGTCACATTACATTGACCTGTCTGTTGGTATGGTCCTGAAGTTTTCCCATAATTAACTGCACTTCCTACATGTCAGGTTTGACAATGGTACATATTACTCTCTTGTTGCTGCCTGGAGTGCCACTTTTGTAAGACACCTGTATGAGCAGCTGCAAGCGATATACCTATGTACACTTCTACCTTGTACGGATCCAAAACAGTAGCTGGAGAATGTGTGACTTATCAATATCCTGAAGACACTTCACACAGCAGCACAAACAAAAAGGCATATCCCCGCCCTGAGGAGCTTTCAGTCTAGATTTTGACCAAATGGAGACAAAGGAGAGGAAGGTGGACACTGGGCAAGAGGAAGAATATACACAAATTCATATTACTCAAATATAGTAGGGGGTTGTGGTTAAGAGATGTTGTGGAAGAGGTAGGATTTGATGAAAGATTCCAAGGTATTTTTGGGAAAGGTGTGTGAGTACCGTACTTTTCGCTCTATAAGACGCACCAGACCACAAGACGCACCTAGTTTTTGGAGGAGGAAAACAAGAAAAAAAATATTCTGAATCTCAGAAGCCAGAACAGTAAGAGGGATGGCTGCACAGTGAAAGCAGCTATCCCTCTTGCTGTTCTGGCTTCTGGGATAGCTGCGCAGCCTGCATTCGCTCCATAAGACGCACACACATTTCCCCTTACTTTTTAGGAGGGAAAAGTGAGTCTTATAGAGCAAAAAATACGGTACTTCCCATGTATCTGGGACTTGTCCACACTTTGCTTGTCCCATGCCTAGAAAACGTGAGTCTGAGAAGTTTTCTGTTTGCCCCGCTGCTTGCCTCATGAAAACCCACTCTTTGGCACTGAATCGGAGCAAAGTCAATCCATGGGAAACCTGGTTGACATTTGCTCTGATTCAGTGCTAAAGAGTAGATTTCCCTGCGGGAAAGCAAAAGTGTAGACGAGCCCCTGGTCCCCATAGTGCGCACACACTGGATGCTTCACCCACCATTTTTAAGGACACATGGAGAGCATGTTGCCAAACCAGGTACTTGAGGGGGAAATTCCCAGATGGGCCACTGTTTGGAAAACATCAATGCTCTCTTTTCCCCCAGGAGTTGATCATCAGTTACAAAACCTTAAGGCCCCTCTGGTGTGTGCCTCTGGAACAGCTCTTAGGTGGCGCTGTTCTGCTTTGGAAGCACTGGAGATTCTTGAAATTAGTATCCTGCCAGTTGAACACAGGAGAATGGGAACCTATGTGTGTGTTTTCCCTCTTTTCCCATAGATTATCCAACGACAGCTGGAGCAAGTAGAAGAGAAGCAAAGGCAGCTGGAGGAGAGGGGAGTTGCTGTTGAGAAGGCTCTTAGGGGAGAAGCAGGTACCTTCCAGTCTTCCATCTTGTGTTTTTCTTTTCTTATTACATTTTTATGCAAAGGTTCATAGCAACCTGTGTGCTAGCTTTACAGACTGGTCCCTTCCTAAGCTGCAAGTTCTTTTATTAAATTATCTTTTTAAACAAATGAATTAAAATTCACCATTTCCCTTCTCTATCAGATCTTGGGCTTCTCTGCCTGTGAAGCTACCTAAATGGCAAGATCCCTTAGCCGGGTTTCATTTGCTCTGAAAATACATCTCACTTCTTCAGGACAAAGTTTTGTCCAATTATTAGTTGCATCTTGCAAAAAGGTGGTAATGCATATAGGTTACCCATCTGCTAGCTTTCCTTTAGGAAATAAAACTTGGTCGTGGCAAGGAAGCCTCCACTTTGCCCAGCAAGATGAAAAAGATTAGAGAGTAATTGATATAAGTTTGTGTTTTTTAATTCACTGTGCCTTGAATCAGCATTAGCACCCTCATAAGGGACCATCACAGAACAGCCCCAGCAAGTACCACATGATCTCTGCAAAATCATACACAGCTTCAAGGCATGTGGAATGAAATTCAATACAACATGTGAAACAGTTGTCATCGTCATCTGCTGTTAATGGAATGAACCTCTATACTTAATGGCCTGGTCTAATGAATGGTACTTGGAATTAACATAGATGTAAGACATTAAGAGCAGAACTAGATGTTACTGCACACACAGGACTGCTACTGAAAACCCAAAACTCTGTATGTAGTCTTCTGCCCACACATCCTTCTTAATGGCCAGTGAAATTTGTTATGCAATGTGATGTCGTCACTCTTGACTTTCCCTGCCTCCCTCCCTCCTTCATTGGGTGCCGAGGTGAGAGAACTCACTGCAAGACAGTGCCACATCACATGGTGAGTTTCACTAGACCTTATAGGGGAGGAAGAAGTAGTAATGAGAATACCGTTTTACCTGTAGCCCTGTGTCTGCCATAATGTCTAGTTCATCCGTGGGAGAGAACATAGTTAGATGATGCTTTCCTCGCTTGATATATCCTAACACTCCTTCCTTGAGAAACGAGTAGAGGCAAACACACAAAGGCCCAGGTTATTTCACATGATCCATTTACCAGAGGTGTAAGAGGCAACCTACTTGGTGAAAATGAATTGAACTTAATTTTGAGATATGCCTTTTGTTTTACTGACCTTAAGTTTGGGAAGGAAATGTAACTAAATTGACTTTCCTCAAAACAGCCTGGAAGAATTGTTTTTCTGCTTTATTTGAAGCTTGGATTGACACACTGAAATTTCCAATATGAATGCGGTAGGATTATAAATGACCGAACAAGGCATTCTCAATACTGTCACTTGATCAGTGCACTAAGAACAGATACTACCTGAACATTACACTTAATTATTACAATGTATTTCTTTTTATTACAATGTATATCCTGCCCTGTTCTGAAATTTCCTGGTAAATAACAGCCTATTTGAGACAGATATAACAATATCAAAGGCAACACAGGATGAATTAAATTTTAATCCCTTGTGTGCTATCCTTGACCACCAAATGACACCCCAGTTACTGGAGACTTTCCCTACCTGTGTTAGATACCCAGGTTTTGGCAAATCTTAAAAAATTAGGAATTCCATAATTGTGGATTAGACCTCAGGAAGCCTTATGTATCCTTACAGTTGAAAATTACTTTGCAGAGAGTGGCCTACAGTGATCTTGGCACCTGCAAGGGAGCCCCGGGGAGGGAACTGTGTGGGACTCAATCTCTTTAAGATTGAAACCAGCAACATCTAGTGCACCACAATTACAAAGTGAGCATCATACCTTGTCCTTATTTTCAAAGGCAGTCTTCCCTAAAGCTACATACAGATATTAACATTTTTGAGTTAATGAGTACATTTTGATAGTGCTATCACCACTAGCTGCCCAAACTTGCTTATTTTATCCTGCAGTTGACTCCTGCAGTTTAAAATGCTTTTTGCAGGCTTTCAGAGTCATTCTTGTTGCATCAGAGAGAATTTGATTGCCTCCAACTTGAAAGGGAGAGAATCTATAGAGAATATGTTTTGGTAGGACTGCAGAGTGCAGCTTTTTGCTAGTGGTAGCTCACAGCATCAGCTGGGGCCAAATAATGTACTCAGTCCAACTTAATCCCTGGAATACTTTTACAACTATTTAAATATTGTTGTTTAAATTGTTTCATAAAATGAATGCAGGTATATAGTTTTAAAAGAATGGAAAGAATTATGCATCTCTACATTCAACAGTCTACAGCCATCTCAAACTCTTTTTTTGTCACCTGACATTCATTTCATTGTCCCCCAGCATCCTTATAGGTGGTGTCATCAGAATTTGAGGAGCTTTGCAAACAACTGAGGGCTTTACTTGCCACACTTCATGGGCAGTGGTGGTGCTTTGGCAAATTATTAGAGATGGCTTTAGATATCTAAAATGTGATGGGGAAGTGGAGAGGGAGAGACAAATGAAAAGGCTGGCTTATTTTTGGGCCTCACAGGTGTGCCTATGAGTATTAATAATTGCCTTTTGAATTCAGGATTTATAGCTGAAATATGTCCATATTCAGTAATCCCATGAAAAATAGACTGTTAATGGGGCATGCTCTTGTTTCTTGAGATGAGATAATTATTAATTTTTTAGATTTTCATGTGCCTTAAAACCTCTTTTTCCTTACACACCTTCAATATCAGCAGTAACTTATTTCAGTATACTGTCCAAACAACCTTGACTGCCTTATGTACGCAGTATTGGCCAAACCGTTATTCCCTGCAGACTACAGTTACAAAGCCTTATTCTCTTAATGGCTAGTAATAGGTTTGCTGGAAAAGGAGCTTCTGCTTTGGTAATGCAGATGGGAAGAGAACACCTTCCCCAAACTACCCATTCTTTATTGTTAAAACAGCTTCCTTGTGTATGAGATAATTAGAATTTTGTGTCCATTTCACACAAGACTTATTCTACATTGATACTGCTTCTCTTGTTAGGAGCATTGCATGCACACTTTAACACGGGACAAATACACAAAAGCTCTCCTACTATGTGCACTTGTGGTGAAACAGACACAGTATGTGCTTATCATGTTGTAGTAAACACACAGCATACATGCCCTTGCCGTATGCAGACATTGTTTTTACATAGGAAGTGATTTTCTGCCTGGAGCACTTTTGTTCACTTTCTATGCTACTTTATATCTTGAAAACTGAAGTTCATCTTATTGTGTGACGTGTCAAGGGAACCTACTTTGTGCATTCCATAAACAGCCCAATGCACTTTGGTATTCCAGGCAGAAAATCCAAGTACAGTCGTACCTTGGAAGTCGAATGGAATCTGTTCCAGAAGTCCATTTGACTCCCAAAACATTTGGAAACCAAATTGCAGCTTCTGATTGGCTGCAGGAAGCTCCTGCAGCCAATCAGAAACTGCGGAAGCCCTGTCAGACGTTCGGATTCCAAAAGAACGTTCGCAAACCGGAACAATCACTTCTGAGTTTCCAGCGTTCAGGAGCCAAAATGTCTGAGTTCCAGGGCGTTCAGGATCCGAGGTACGACTGTAGTGCCCTTTACTACTTGGTAGTAATAATAATTATAGTTCGGTGGCCTTTAATGATTTCCCCCAAAATATCTGGCACCTGAGGCCAACTGGCTCAGCTTGCATAATAGAAGGTCCAAACCTATCTTGACCAAAGTTAAATTTTTGATCATTGGACCAACTCTGACACCAATTTTCTTGAGTCTGTCGTGGTGCTTCCTTCTCAGGGGTTGAAACTAAAGTAACAATTGACATTTTATTTCTGATTAGAAATAAATTAATTTGAAAAGTGTCATCCTGGAAACACAAGGAAACCCTTTATGATGAGCAGTTCAGAGGATTTAAGTCTTCTATACATATTTTTGTTCGCTTGAGTTAAGTGACCCTAAAGTCTGTTGCATACATCATTACTGCTTTAATAAGGCTGTTCATAGTTTACCAGAATGTATAAAGATTTCCAAATGTTATATACTCCCAGCAGACATTGACATGATTATTAGGCATACTGGTTTTCATTTGGGTCAGAATGGAGACTCTTTGTAGAACATATTTATTTTAGGGGAAGAACCCTTACAATCAGCAGAAGGGGCATGGCGACTGCTTAGTTTTTCTTAGTTATATGGTGTTGAGTTCGTTGCCCAAATCCAGACACCTCCGGCCCATGTGGCCATTTCATGTTTCCTACTTCTGACAACACATCCTATAAAACAGTATCTGCCATTTATGGAAAGTGATCGCAGGAATGTAGATGTGTGAGAAAAGTTACCAAAGAATTGGCTATGCCCTTAGCCTTCCCAAGGCCAATCTTACATGCAAGATCCCAGATTCCATTGGGCTTGTTTATGGATTTACCCCGGAGGTGAAAAAACTTACCAAAAAGAAGCTGCAAGAGTGAAGACCCTAGTACTTTTCTGGTTGCTTAGCCGACGCAAAACAATGTAGCTGAATAAAAAGAAGGATGAAATGAGAAGACCCAGCCCAACACCTTACCCTGCTCTCTTGAATGGAGATGTATCCTTCCCCGAATTCCCTCCCTACTGGAGAATGTTTGTGGATCCTTCCCCCAAAATAACAGTGCAGTGTCTCATCTTGATACAAACCAGTATAGGTGACAAATCCTCATACAGAGTCCAGCCTGCTCTCCTTCTCTGCCTGGAAATCCATGCCTGCCTGTCCTCCCTGCCTATTTACCAGGGAATACTTTATCCTCCCCCCATCTTTACAGTATATACCGTATATATGTATGTGTATATATTTATTATAGAGTTGCATGATTTCTTGTTTCTTCTGTTTCTGTCTCTCTTTCCCTGTCTTGCTTCTCTTATGTATGCAATTTCTCTTACAGAGTGCTTTGAATCCTGGGCAGGGAGTGGGGAGGGCTAGCAGGGGTGGGTACTTGAACCAATAACTCTCTCTCTTCACCGATTCCTTGTTGTAGACTATTGGGGAGAGTCTTATTACAGTGACCTCATCGACTTGCACCTGGGTGGTATGTATGGCAGAACCTCTTTGCTGGCACTAATCCTGCTGACACCTGCTCCCGCCACCCTCTCCCTCCACCTACTTCTTTCCATCCCTGGCTCCTCACAAGCAATGAGAAGAAACCAGTCTTGCACCTAATTGATTGGCTAGGGCACAACCCCTTTTCCAGCTCGGAGGAGAACTAGCAGTCCTTAATGAGCAGTGTTTTGGAATCGTAGAATCTCACAACTGCAGAGTTGGCAGGGACCCTGAGGGTCATCTGGTCCAGCGCCCCGCAATGCAGGAATCCTGCTCACAGCCTTCCCAGGGTGGGCTCGAACCATCAGCCATCTAGTTAACAGTCAGATGCACAATTGGGCAATGTCACATGAAGTCTAGGATTTTTGCAAAACACCCCAGTGACAGGTGGCGGGGGGAATGGTTTCCATTGTGGTTTCCTGTAGGAAAACAACCAGGAATGAAAGTGGAAGAGATGTGCAGAAGTACAGAGAATTTATTTCTCATCACTTTTTGAATATTAAACCCCTTCTCAAGGGTTGATTTTTTTTTACTCTTTTCCCCACCAGGATAAACATCTGCACCAACTTAAAATAACCTTTCCTGAGAAAGAAGTTTAATACTCAAAATTTGTCGGGCAACAAATTGTCTTTTGTACACATTTTGAAATTTTTCCTTTTTTATTCTGGGATTCACTGGAGGCCTGATCCAAAGTGTCACATGCTGAGTTCTGTGCATGCACAGGGGACTCTCTTGTAAGCTGGGTGCCTTCTTTTTCCTCCAACACAATAATACTGGAGAAACCATTTCTGAAACATGGAGGTAAAAAACCCTGAGTCATCTCCTCCTCCTCTCTCCATTGGTGACATTTAAGAATTTCAGTCCATGAAAGGTTACGCCATAAAAATGTGTTAGTATTTAAGGTGCCGCAAGACTATGTTTTTGCCGCAGTGTTCTAATTTGACTATCCTTCTGGCATTTAAAAATGTGTAGTGCCACATTATTGCAATGAAAGACTTCCCATTCATTTTGTGGCAGCCAATGAAATGGAGGGGGACAAGGAAGTACAATATTATATGTTGCTTTTTTTAAAAATTTCTAAGCATTGCAGGGGATCCAGGAAGAGGAGAAAGAGAGACATGGGATTGCTGCTCTTGCCAGTGGTCAGTGTCTGCTGTGAAAAGTAGTTGTAGCTTGAATGTAGTTTCAGGTGGTGGTGCTGTAATGAAAAACAGAGGGACCTCTGGGGTACATGTACAGGACTTTAGCTAAAGGAGCTCTCTGGATCATGGCCTCTTTTCAAACTTCATAATTTAACCTGGGGTAGCTAACCTTTGAGATGTTGTTGAACTACAGCTCTCATTAGCCCTGACTGTTGGCCATGCTGTTTGGGACTGATTGAGGGCCATAGGTTAGCCACCCCCAGTTTAGCCCCTAAATTTAGTTGTGCTATGCATTTTGTTGATAAGTAAATCCAAACTATTGATTAGATTTTTCTTCCCAAAGATAATCTAGCACTTATATACTTTATTCTCCCTCAAGGATTGTCCCCAACCCTCAAAGAAGTGACAGCTGCCCCCTCAACACACTTTGTTACACTTTATAAGGACTGCTATATTTTCTTTTTAACTGCTATGCTTCTTTAAATACCATTGCCTGTTATTGTAGGGAAAGTTGTACAGATTATCACACTTAATCCGCACTGCCAAACTGCAGTCTGAGTGCTAGAGTTCCTACAAATGGATGGGTGGCCAGGAGAGTACACAAATGTTACACATGCCCTGTCATTTCTGAAATTAAAGAAGAGTTTGAACAAGCCCTCAGATGGTATCCACAGGCTCTTTCTCTTTCCTTGTGTAAAGTTCATCCTCAAAGATCACCCCAACATGATATAGTTCCTATTCTTTTCTCTTTTTTGTCTTTCTCCCCCCCCCACTCCCATGTATAGTGACTTTTTTATGAATAACACCCCCCACTCTGCAGTAATATTACAACTTTAACACAGGCCAGCACAAATTGTGTCCCATCAAGCTTACCGGTCATGTATTATGACATTGCAGGTACTTGATAGCCTTCCTGTTTTTGCAGTCTGAGGCAAAACAAAACATCAGATGTTGCTTGAAACCCTGGTGGGCTACATTTGACATTGTGGGTTACCAGTCATGCAGGACTGATTCAACACATCTTTGGTACTACAGCTGTTTTCCAAGGTGTCTTAAATTCTGGTCCTTACTCCTTGGGAGTTGGTGACAGAAGGATGTATTGCCAAGTCTCCTTAAGGTGACTTTTGTATATCACTAATGTTTTTGAACTATTGCTGCATCTCTTCCATAAAAATCAAGCAAGCTACCCGTGTTCTTCAGACTGGCAGTTTGCAGGTTAAGGAGACCAACAGTGTTTTGTGGTTTTAACCCTCATAGTTTAGAAATAGGTAAGTGGTATCCCAGGAGGTTATAGGCCCCCAGGAATTTCCTAACTTGGCCCTATCATAGTCCCAAATCTCAAAGGGTCCCCCTTTCATTATTTTGCACCTTTCCTCCATGCAAAGGAGACATAGACCCTTTCTTCCCCATTGTGAGCAGCAAAATGCTCTGCCAGTTTTCTCCCTCCATACTTCAGCCGCTGACATGGAAGCCATATACAGAGGTCGGTTTGGAGAGTTAAGTGCCTGAGGTGCTTGGCCACCAAACTATTTCTTGTTTTAACATGTTGTGGGAGATAACAGAAAGATTTAAGCCCTTTCTCCATGCCTCCACTCACCTGGAGTCAATCAGTAGGTGGAGCAAATGCTGTTGGCTCTCCAGCCCTTGCTCAAAGCAAAATGACACATCCCTGCTAGAAGGAGTTGCTGGCTCCTCTCTGGAGACCGGTGCTCTGCCTATGTGGGGTTTCTTTCCAAGTGTGCCGCTAGGGGGCATTGTGTGCCCACAGACAGAGCTGTAAAAGGGTTAATGCAAAGTTACACCTAACAGGTCCTGCTCCTAGCTGATGCAGCTCCCACACTTCCTTCTCCTCCCCCCCCTTCCCTTCCTAATTCCCTCTTGAAGGCAGCAGTCTTGTCATTTTTGCTAACAGTGGCTTTAAAAAGTAGTCATCGGAGTCATTTAAAGGGACACTGTCGTTTTTCACGTTAACTAACCTCACTTTCTGTCATAAAGAACTAGCATAAGTAAATTAATAAATCTCATTTGCTTCTCACGATTATATCCTTTTGTTCCCTACATTTCCTGTTTGGATAAATGTACGCAATATTAGCCATGGCTACTTCTTCCCTACACTTTGGAGCTTTTAAAGACATTTTTTATTTTTTTATTTTTGCTAGTTTCAACTCCAGCCCAGATAGCGGTAATAATTCACAATTCCGAATGGAAGATCATTACTATTTTAATCTATCTTGATTTCTTTCTTTCTTTTAATCCCCAGCAGAAAACTTCACTACTTGGCAGTATCCCTTTAAATAAAATGCAGTGTTATGTGCAGAAAAAGACACACGTGGCTTTGTAGTGTTAGTTCTTTTTATACTCCTCTGTGACTGGTGTTTGTTCAGTACTTCCTCACAGGGCTGCCAGAGTGCTCAAGAGTCACTGTAGCGTAGGGGCTAAGAGACTGTGAGCTAGGGAATCCCTGGTTCAGACCTCACCTCTGCTGTTCTCACAAAGCCACCTTGGGGAAGATTGGGCTTAATAATGGCTGCCTTAAATGGTTGCATATAATACGTTTCTATGCCTGTTGTAATAGATATAATAGGATGATTGGTTTGAATAGCCAAGGCACTTCACAAAGCACCGCCTAAATGCTAAAATTTATATATACTTCTAAAGGTGGTGAAAGAAAGTCCTCTCCTTCATCTTGCCAGTAAATGTAACCAATGGGTCTCAACCTGAGTTGACTTCTGCATTCACAATGGGTTAAAGGAGATAAAGATAAAGATAAAGATAAAGGAGGAAACATGTTCCAACCACGTTCTTGCTATTCCCTGGGCATATGTTCATTTGTGATCCGGCTACTAAATGCTCTTGCTTTGATACGAGAGAGATTCAGCGTGCAGATGTATTCTTAGGACCCCTACAGAAACAGTTGCTATATATGGCAGAGATATATGCCACACCTGTGAATGCCTGCGCAGGTTCTTGTATGGCATATGCATGGCCTAAGAAATGCTCAGGGGTCATGGCTTGATCACCTGGTGAGTACAGGAGAAGGATGTTGTGCTGAGAAGGGGCTCAGTGCAGGCATTTCCTTCTCATCACTTTAGGTGTTTAGCACCAGCAGCAATTTCGGGTGCTGGCATGAAGGTGTCTCCCATTATTCTTGGTTTGGACTCCAATATCCATCATTGGAAGCAAAATTCCAGTAGCTACATTCAGGGCTATTAGTGCTAAGCTCCAAACCCTTTGGTCAGACTCATACTCCAGCTGGGTCAGTGGGTTAGATGGAGGCAGATTGCACAATAAAGCCCAGCCATGGTATCACCAGACCTTAGCAAGGGGAGTCCGGAAAGCTGTGCCAGGATCAAACCAAGGTCAGAAGGGATCCGTCTAGTCCAAAAGTAATCCAGGACAGCATTGGTAAGCTTGGGGTCCAGGGATCAGCAACTGATGAGCTCTAAGAAGGAAGCTGGGGGAGGCAAAGGAGTCAGGTTCAGAAGTCAGGAGCTGGATGGTGGATTGTCTTCAACAAGCAGCAGACTCCAAATGAAGCCTGATATAGCCTAGACTCCCAAACCATGCCATCACCAGCTTCAGGTGCTTGAGTCTGCCCTAAGAGCCTTTGCTCTAGAGTTTTGTTAGTTACAATGAGCCTTTGACTCAATAATTACACAGCAACACTGCACTCCCAAGTGTGCATTCTCTCACTGACTAGCTGCCTGGGCTGGATCTTCTGGCCCCAATGTCTTTGAAGCCTGAGGGGTTGATTCAGCCTCCCCCTTTGACTTTGCCTGGGCTTCTCTGCCAGGGGTGGCTCAGGAACCCACTGCAAGGTCCTTTCAGAGTATCCCCTAGTAGTAAG